ATGCACGGTGTGCTCCTGTGTCTTGCATGCTCTGTGCATACCAGCACACACAGGTATCCTTGCTAGGGAAGATCTTTGCTGCTCTGCTGAGAATTGCACTGTCCAGAGCAAAGTGTGTAGAAAGGAAAGCAAGTGTGTGTAAATGTAAGTTCTGTGGCAATCGTCATTAATATGCTTATTTTGTAGGGTTTAGTGATCCAGAAGCCAAGCCGGCTCTATTGGACTCTTAGAAACTACTTAGAAGATTATGTGGCTCTTTGCTGCATCAATACACAATTGTACTTAACTGAAAAGTGATATCCTGTATATGCTTTTTCTTTTTCAAGCACTTCATTTGGTGAAGGGATTTGCATAACATGCAGTCATTAGCTACTACTTCATCTAAAATATGTCTTGTGCCAGTTTCTTGTGGTGTCCTGGCTTTTTGGAAAAGCTGCAATTCTGAAGGGAAAACCAAATAAATGGGCACAAAAAACTTTATAATTTTTCCGTACCATAACAATAGTTTGGTTTTAGTTTTCATGGTTTTGGGTTTGGTTTTTTTTTTAATTTATAAAAAAATCGAATCCCCAAGTATTTAATGTAAGGAAAAAGGGGATTTATAAAGGTATATGTGCTGCTGCCAGATAACTTTGACCTATGTGAAAATAAATGGTGTAATTACTCCACAGATTCTTGTTAATCTAGTTATTTCTATGCTGATCTGAAGATTGGCTCTTATTATAAGCTATTCAATTCTGATCTGTGCTTATGTTTTATATTCTATATTATTTTATTTTGGTTTGAGATGATTTTTTTGTTGCATATAATGTTGGGGTTTTTTTCTGGGAAAGGAATGGACTGTGGTTTTTTGACTTGCATCATATCTTATATAGTATTCAGATCCCACAGATTTTTGGACTGAGTAACTGGTGGAGAAGACAGACCAAAACACAATACAAAACAAAAGTTACGAGCCCAAGAAATGTCCAAGAGTGCTGGAGATCAATACATTTAGTTGGAGTTTCTGTTCTCATTAAAAAACCAAAACCAAAATCAAATGGTTCCCATTCCCTATCACCTGTTTTTGTAGCTCTGATCCATTCTGTCACTCATGCTCTGCCTGTAGACCAACACTTCATATCTGTAAGGATATTTTTCATTATGCAAAATTATGACTAGCGCTGAATAAACTTTTAATTGTTCAGTTTAGGAGTTAAACCAAAGATTTGGAAAAAGGTCAAGCTAAAAAACATTTATGGCTATTTCATTAAGTCCAGGATACTTTCTGGTCAACAGTTTTCTTAAATTATAGTGAAATGTTTTCTTTTTATTTTGAGTATTGTAGCTCCCTGCAAATTTTTCATAGCATATTCAGAAATTAGGTCAGTATGTATCAAAAACGTTTCAACTCTCTGTAATTCCTCTTATTCCCATTTTGTGAAAAATCCACATTTGCGGATATTTCACTCTTTTACACCTCTGACATTCCATACATGGCATCAGCTCATTCTTTTGCTTGGTGTAGTTCACTCATCCATTTTAATGTTGTAGCTGCTCAAAGATAATTTCAGAGTAACACCGTAAGCAAAGTACAGCCAATAACCCTTTTTGTCATAATATTTTGTCTTGTTTGGCATGTATTCATAATTAGAAGGTTTTTTTCCTTGAGCTCTTAAGAGAAGAAAGAGGCAAGAAACAAAATTTCCCATATTTTTTATGTTTTTTTTCTGCTTAGAAATAGTTTTTCTGTATGTTTGGATTTTCACAGAACATTGTGAGCTTGATTATTGGGAAATAATATAATATTACATGCTGTATATAATCAACCATCATCCAATACATGTTATCATTCTATTTACTGGTCATCAAAGTACAGATGAGGAATATTATCAGACAAAAAGCTATATATTTTTAAATGCAGTTCCAACAAAACCAACATGAACAAAGAAATAAGACTTAATTAAAATTTCTCATTTTATCTGAAATATCAGCTTCAAAATAAAGCTGTTAATTAGGACACATTATTTTGTTTTATACTAAAACTCTCTGGAGTGATATTAGATTGCTGTTCTCCAAATTCAGTACTGATAGACACAAACTCAGATTTTGGTAACCCTATAATTTTGTGGGCAAAAATTAAAAATGAGCAAGATAATATTTTAAATGTTTTTTTATTTGTTTAAAGTAATTTCTAAAATAATTTCCCATATGTTCTTCAGTGTATATTTTTCTGATTAAATGGATTTTTAAAATATTATATTTGAAAAATATCTTGTAAAAATGAAACTTCTGAGCTACAACTTCTGCGTGAACTTGTCTTTGGGTTTGCTGACAATGAAATTACATCTTATGGTTAAGTTGCATTGTATTTCTTGTTTTGATGTAATTCATAGCTGGTGAAGGAGTTTTGGCCAGAATGAGTGTACTATGGAAAGTTGATTTTTTTATGCCACAATTCTGAATAGAGTTTCAAATATTTGGTTACACTGTGCAATGCTAATGCCAGTATGTTGATTTAAGGATTTATTTTTCTCTGCCAAAGACTGTAGCAGAAAATCCATCATTATCATGAATGTAGCCTTTTATCCCTAAAAATTACATATGAGCAAGGTCTTACTCCAAAAAGATAAAATTCATAGACATAAATTTGTGCTAATGACATTCACACCTGTTGAGATAAAAATTTTCATTATGTCTGTGTTGAAATCACATGTTTTATTTTAGGATAACCAAAGAGATTAATAACATTATTAAATATTGGTTTATAGTATGCTTGAAGTACTATTAAGTTGCTTGTTTAAAAAAATAAACAACAACTGTAATTAAGTGCTAAATGCAAACAATAGAATAACATAGCATAACATGACATGACATAACATAACATAACATAACATAATGTTGCTCTGTAATGTTGCTAATGTATATAATGGTGTGGAATCTGATCAGTCACAAAGCCATGGATTTTCATAAGTCACTGCCCTGTATGGTGATAATGTAGCCCTTTCATATGCATTGAAAATTACCTTATGCTAATGGATCTGCAATTACCTAATTTCTGTCATTATTTAAGCCACTGAATGACTTAAGGAAGTAGTTTAATTTTCCAGGGCATCATTTCCAGTGCAGAGGAGGGAGTGGAGAGAAGGGTTTTAGACTCTTCTCAAAAGTGCCTACTGACAGAAGGCAAGGGGCACAAATTCAAAAAAAGGAAATTTCATGTGAACGCAATAAACCACTTTACTGTGAGGATCACCCAACACAAGTGGTTGTCCAAAGAGGTTGTTGAGTCTCCATCTATTGGTATTACCCAAAAGACCCAAAAAAAGACATGGTCCCTCACAGCCTGCCCTACTCGAGGTGGCTGAAGGTGGGTTGGACTAGGGAGGTCTTGAGAGGTCTCTGCCAACCTCGACTATGTGTGGCTTTCCAGAATTTAGCATGAGCCATACTAATGAATTTTTGCTGGTATCTTCAATCATATTTTATCACATCATTTTGGAGTGGTGTGAATACTGCCTTAACCATCGCAAAAGCCTCAGTCAATTTTTTTTCTCAGGAGTCTGCTCCTCTGCTAGTGGCTCTCTGACACATGGATTGTCTGTAAGAAATAGCTTTTCATGTATTTAAGGCATTCATGACAATTTGTTTGTGGTGTGGATCCCCTGACACTAATCAAATCAAACTGACAGTGGAAAATTAAAAAACAAAATAACGAGACAGATATAAATTCGAAAAGGTTTTTGTGTGTGTGTGTGTCAATGCACAGCAGCTTCTGTATTTCAAAGCTGAAAATTTAAGTATTGAGGTTCTAGAAGTAACCAATGTTAATAGTGATTTTTTTCATCTTTTTTTGTACTATCCATTTTAAATATATGGATTACATTTTAATGCTGTATTGTAACTCTATTTATTATTACTTGGAGTACATGTTGAAACTAAACCAAAAGTTTATTTCACTTTTCCTATTCTGCTTCAATGAGAATGCAGTTCCTCAGTCTGTAAAATTCAGTAAGTACCGCTATTTGAGGAGATTAATACCCTGACAACAATAACAACTCCTCCGGAAATATGGGCTTGCACAAAGGTAAATATCATGGTAGTCTGATCAGATTATGTTTAACAATATGCTACATTTTAGTCATGTTTGAAGGAAAAAATGAAACACATTACAAAGAATACAGTCAAAATCAATTGTCCTGAATGTCTTTTTGTAGAACTTGAAGTTCTACACTGAAAGGCAATCTAAGGTTATCAGAGTGCTTTTGAAGTGTTGCATTTGGGGTTATCAGAACTCTTTCAATTACTGTTGGCTGAAATTATGGATACAGTGCACTGAGCTAAAAAATAACTAATGTAAGTTCCTTTATAGTCTTACAGTCCAGGGATGGCTTAATCTTAGCACTCTGGATTTGAACCCAGTGTTTTATGTGCAAGTTACTAAGTTACTTTCATTTTCTGAGATGATTTTCACTCACCTTCAAAGATGAGCACAAATTGTTGTAAAACAGATATGAATATTAAATACCACAAGAGAAATTTCTCAGCAGGTCACACAATCAGAGCAGCAATTTGTCTAAACTCTTCAAAAAAAGGTTAAATGTCTTATAGAGGCTCTAAAAGTTTATTGTTCAAATGTGTATAACAGTGATTTTTCTCAGTTTAAAATGTTATTTTCAAAAAAATATAATTATGAGTAGAATAAAGTCTTTTGCCTGTCTACTTTTCAACAGCTCACAGAACCCTTTTTTATAGAATGTCCACAACAAATATAGCAGGGAAACAGTTATGCTGATGCTGAATTGAATTTTCTTCCAGCCAAAGTATCCTACCTTTGAAGCTTTAGGCAAGGCAAATACAGTAGCTTAGAAATATATAATACAATATTAAAAGAATGAGACCAGATAACATCTGTTGGAAGCAGCAAAACCCTAAAACCATGATGTATAATAGTTAACAAATTAAAAAGAGCATCCTTTGATTTAATTGCAATATTGATTTAAGTGTCCTATTGGTTTCAGTTGGAGAGAATCCCAGGGAATGCCCTGCCCTCACTGATTTTGTGTGTGGGAATAAGAATTGCATTGAGTCTCGGTTCATCTGTGACTATAAACCAGACTGTGAAGACCTATCAGATGAAGCTGACTGCAGTAAGTATCTCTTTGTATGTTTATCTAATCTTCAGTTAAAATTATAACTTTAAATTCTGTAGCATGGTTTGGGTGAGTTCATAAAGATGATTCCCTCAGAAGAAGTTCACAAGCAGGTTGCCTTCTCCCCAGCTCGAAAGGTCTGATATTTTCACATCCTCAGAGATATTTGCTGCAAAAGAATTCAAGTGTGGCTTAGTTGCAAAAGTGTAGCTAACTAAAACCAAAGGTTAAATACTGAAAAAAACTTTCAACACCAAGGACAAAACCAGCTTAAGGATCAAAATATACTTGAGGAATTAAATCAATGAGTTACAATAAAATATCAACTCGGAGAAAAAAATGTAAGCTTGTTTATTAATGTAAAAAGGTTTTGAAAGGAAAAATCAATGTTGCATGGAAAAGCTCAGCAAGCAAACTTATGTACAATAACATTTAGGCATGGTTCTACTATAAAAAGTCGAATATTTAAAAAGAAGCTTCTCATTCCTTTCAAATGAATTCTGTCTTTGTGATCTGAGTACTGTGAGTACAGTTTCATTGTTTGTTCTTGCTTCTACCTCAGAGCTATGAAAATATTTTATTGTCATTTCTCTATTATAGAATAGTTGGAAAAAATTGAGTCTGTTTATCTTTGCCTAATGAATACTGAGACACAATTTGTTTGAAGGCATTCTTTGCTGAGCCTTATTGAGATGGAAGGGCACAGGTCCATTAAAAAATCTGGATCAAGTTAATGGGCTTTCCAATTCAGGCCTGAAACTCAGAAGCAGTAAAACATTGTGCCCTTGCTCCTGCTTTGTATCTTTATTTACAGTTTATGGTCTGGACTGGACATTTGCAGTAGGAAGATTAGGTAGTTCATGTATGCAGTTCAGTAATCAGTCTAATTGGTAATCTTTGAGCTGGAGGGTCAAATTCTGCCATAATACAGGTATGCTCAAAAGTAAACTTGATAGATAGAGTAAGTGAATCCACACATCAATTCAATGTTCATCCTTTGTGGAAGTAAAAGTACTTCATTGAAATAAGCCAATATTTTGTGATCTCTTGAAAAATCAAGGGCCTTTTTCTTGCATGGGGTTACTACATGCTCGACTGAACAGGATTACAAAAGTAATGACCCTTTATTGGATGATGCACATTATAATGTTTTTACCAGACTGCAGACTCACATGCTTAAAAAAGATGCTTAGATGTCACTGTAGGAGATTTAACTCGGAGTTTCTCTCTTTCATAAAAGTAAACAGCAGTTCTGAAGTATAAAACTGAAGATAGTGTCACTATTTCTGATCTCTACCTCTTGTAGTACTTTGTGTTGCAGTGAACTTTGTGAATCGTATTCATGGAAATGAATTTACATTGAATAATAACTTTGAAATACTAGGTTTTTAAAAGTAGATAGATAGGATAAATCTATCTCCAGGATAGATTTAATACAGCTAATCTGTATTTCATGTATAAAGTATTAATACTTTTTTAGGAGTTAGGTTAACTATACAGTAAAATACTCCGTAAACTCACCCTAGTAACATTTTCCAGACCTAACAGGTACACAATAAATTTGAATTACTGTCTGAAGTGAACTGTTCAGTAAAGATATTCAGAAAACTATGAAGACACTTGATTTATTCTCTAAATATTGTTAGAGAATATAGTAGCTTCATTGGGGGAGGGTATTGTTCTGTGTTTTCTGGAAGGACTCTTTTCTTAGTCAGATAATAGATTGGAACATTTCAGGCCATAAATTATCTTAAATCACAGTAAAGCAACTCAGTCTTTTTGCTATACTGAAGAAAACCTTTTCCAAGGGGAGAAAAAAATTGCTGATATTCACTTTAAAGAATAGTCTGAAATATCTTTTTATTGTAGATGGAAAGGCTGTAGATACATCAAAATATTTTGATCAGTCTTTAGTCTTGCTGTCTCTACTGAAGTGTAATGCAGAGATACAGTAATCTGGCATTCAGAATACTCAGATAAGCCTCAGGTATAATATTTCCCTGTCTGCTCTATTTTAGTTCCAACAAATGATGCCTTATATTTAGATAAATATACTTTTTCCCTGGACATTTATCTTACCAATGGAAATAAACATTAAAGGGCATATAATACCTTCTAGATATGAAAACCTGATTTTTTAAATGAAAATACAACAGGAGCTGCTTAATCAGAAAAGAAAGCATAACAGGCACAGAGAAATCCCTTCATAGCCTAACCTGTCCCATCACAAGTGCTTATGGCCACATTTGTCTGCAGTTTTCTCCTTTGCACGGAGCTAAGGTCTGAGCTTATTTCACATTCTACTGTAGCTTTCTACAAGTGTAACTCCGAAGAAGTAAATGACCATAATCTACTCAGCAGCAATTCCTGTATGCAGGATTTACAACAGAACCTGTATGAAATGAACTGCATCCACGTAGGCTCGTGGATATTTTTTTAATAAACTCATGCAAATTACTTACTCTGTTCATTCAGTTTCATTCAGTACAGTCAGGCATCTTGTAAAATTTTGAATTCCTCTCAGTATGCTGTGGAAGGACCGAGGTGAAAAAACCACACATGAAAGCAGTTTCAATTTTCATGAATTGCAGTCAATTTTACACACAGATTTGATTAATAGCAAACCTCAGTGTTGATGAACCAACCAGAGGAGTGCTTGAATTATTGAAATAAAAGTAATTTTTCCAATAAATGGAGCAATCTTCTTCTGCTGGCTTCTAAATAGGGTATGCTTACCCATAAATAAACCACCCAGCAGGTGCAGATAGGTCACATGGCTTTGTCAACCCAGTAAGTGCTGTTCATAAATATTTATTAATAATTGCCTTCTGAATGCACTGTTAATATATTAGGGTAAAAAAGCTGCTCAGGTATTCTGTTATGACTAGTGTTAATCCTAAATGGATTTGGACTTTGATCTTCTTAGTGATGCCCTAGAAGTTGTTTTTTTTTAAATAATGGGTTCTCTTTGCTCTACCTGTGTGTGAGGTTGTTTATTGTTGGAGTTAGGCCTTTATTAGGCTTACATGATGTTTGTAATACAGTGCCAATGCAGATGCTCACTGCATTTGACCAGCACTAGCAAAATCACAGAAGGGCTGAGGTGCGAAGGCACCTCTGGACATCATCTAACACAACCTCCTGCTCCAAACAGCAACTCACTGCACAGAGCTCTGCCACCCAGGATTTGAATACCTTCATAAATGGAAACTCCAAAATTTATCTGGGCAATTTATATCAGTGTTTTACCAGTTTAAAAAGGTTTTTTTCTTAGGCTTAAAAATTGCTTCCTCTATTTGTGCCTGTTGTTTCTTGTCCTGACACGGGGTACTACTGAGAAGTCTGTCTTTTTCTCCTTTGCACCATCCCAGAAAGTTTCTATATAAACTGAAAAAATACAGTTGAGCATTCTCATCTCTGACCTGAACAGTCTCAGGTCCTTCTGTCTGTGCTCAGGAGAGACGCTTCAGTCCTTGCAGTACAGTAAGTACATAACAGGGCAGTACAAATTCTCCCCCTAGCATACAGAATTTTGATCCAGTGAATGATCTATATTGGATGAAAATTATACATCTTTTAAGATATTTGTCTTACTCATTTAACTAAGGTGACACTTTTTCTTACAGAGAACAAAAGTTCACAGGGTTATGATGTGTGTGCAAACCTTGGTCATAAGAAGTTTTATGATAATGATATTTTCATAAAGAATGGCCTCAGTTTTTCTTTTAGCATCAAAGTAGAAAATACGAAAAAAACCTAAACAGATTACTAGGAGGTAATTAAGTCTATTTTTTTGTCAATATCCTTTATACACAGACAGTACATAAATACATATATACATATTACATACATAAATAGTTGTATTTAAATATTGCAGAATATTTCTAGATCAAGGAACATAGTCTAAATCCTCAAACCTATTCTGAACAGCTAAAGTCAGACCTGTATCTAAAATGCATGGCTGATTGTGATGTTTAATAGTTTGTAACATTTCTCCAAAGGTGGTGTCCACACTCACACTCAGCAATTGTGTAGCTGCCTCTGCTTTATAACTAAGGAAAAGATGTCTTGGAGCCAACAGAAGAGATTGTGGTGCTATTTGATTCGTCTGTACCCAACCATTTATATAATTTTGTTGATTAATTACTTTTCCAAAGTAACCTGAAGTAGCAGAGGCAGAGTTAGAGTTGGGCAGTTTAACTGAGATCTCCTGAATTTAGTCCTAATCACTAGAACATGTCTCTCATCATAAAGCTGCCATCAGACATAATATTCACAAGGCCAACATATGCTTATGAAAAATGCCATTGTGGAAGGGCAGCCCAGTTTTGCTAGCTAATTGTCTGGGAATCATTCTTTCCATTTACCTTGGATAAGAAATAAATTTGGTGAAGTCATTGGTTTGTCATGGGCATTTATCTGTAATAAATTTTATACCTGCTCTTAAAGTGAAGAATGAGCTTTTCCTTTCCTCATTAACTATATTACATATTATTTATGTCCGTACATGGAATGCAGGGAATCACAGTGTTAGCCATACAGAATCCTTTCAATTTCCATTTTTATCGTGCACACTGTAGCACCTTTATGTAGAGCTGGGATAAATATTTACTTTTTGCTGTATTTTCAGGTTACTACACAAGTATTCCTGGAAGCTGTAACTTTGAAACACAAGATCAAGAGTGGACAACTGTATGTGGATTAATGCAAGACACAACTGATGATTTTGACTGGAATATTAGCAACGGTGCTGTCACAGGGCAAACAGATCCTCATACTGACCACACACCAGGTATTGCCATGTGTACTACATCACCTTTGGGACAATAAAATATTCACTGAATTAAAAAAACCAAACTACAAAAAATGTAGGTCGGTGCCAAGATCCCGTCTCAGTGTGATCAGCTTATACATGGGATTGGTTCAATGCTGCAACAGGAAAAGTTCAGGTTGGATATTAGGAAGAATTTCTTTACCAATGGGGAGGCCAAACACTGGAACAGCCTTCCTAGAGGTGTTCAGTGTCCCCAGCCTTTCAGTGCTTGGGAGGCATTTGGATAATGCCCTTAACAACATGCTTTATCTTGGGAAGCCCTGAATTGATAAGCCAGTTGGACTAGATGATCATTTTAGGTCTCTTCCAACTGAAATAATACCATTCCTTTGAATTCAACTCTAATAACAAATTTCAGCTACATAATGACAGCTTCTGACATTAAAAAGATTAATTCTCTGAAATTGTAGCTGGCTATAGTAATACTCTTCTCCTTGTCCATATTTTAAATAATCTACTTTTCCTGGAGTGTGTTGCCTTCCTAATGAATTTTAGAAAAAACATGCAATCATATGTGGGATGAGGAACAAAATGTGTGGCATGTGTGAAATATTAAAGGCTCCTATCTTGATTTAACTTACCTCTCTGACATTGGCTTGCCAGAAATGTTATTATAGAAGTTCTTCCCAAGATATTTCTGAAAAACTGCTACTACAATGCCTGTTGATTGTCAGAATTAAATATATGGATAGGCAATTACAGTAATCTGTGTTATGTAGTAAGCATAATTATATATTTTATTACATAAATATTGAATAATAAATTCTTTATATTGTACAGTATATCTGGGTGGGTTATTAATTTCCAGCAAAAACGTACCAATCCATATTTGAGAAGTAGTTAACTTTCTTTCCAGAAGCCTTGATGGTTAGAATCCCTATCTTAATTTCCATCTAATCAGCAAAGTATAGTTAGTATATAGAAGTATCAAAAATTCTACTGTTTTTCTCTTGGATTTGTGAGCAGCATCATCTCCAGGTTTTGACTCTTTTTTTTTAATGTATTTTATGTTTTCAAAATCAATAGGGACACCTTATCATAGGTGGCTGTAGCCATTTCTGTCCAACTCCTTTATCCTCCCTTTTCCTTTATTCTGCACCTGCTGCAGGAACTGCTCACCTGATCATCAGGGAACTGCTTATCTACCACAAATCACAGTTTTTGCAGACATTCCTGCTACTTTATGTTGCAGGCTGTAAATCTGGCAGTGCATTCCTCTTGGAAAGGGACAAAACAGACAAGGTAGAAGTAGAAACCATCGCAGCTGTTCCAGGCAAGCTGTTTCTTGCAAATAAGTAGTTTGACTTGCTTCCTTGCTGTTACTTTGATGCAATGCGATAACAAAACAACTACTAGCCCCTGGCTTTTTAAGGACATTTTGTGTGTTTTTCTATTGCAGTTTCTGTCATTTAATTAGTTCGTTGTTTCTGTGAAATTACCCAGCAATTGTAAGAAAAACAAAGTTACTAAAAAGTGAAGCAAAAGGAAAACAAAATTAGAGCAAAGTGTTTACAAAATTATGCAGATTTGTAGTTTACTTTTAAATTGCCCAGACAAGATATATTCACATTAGATACAGAGGAATTGCTTGTCAGAATTGCCAACGGCCTGTAATACTTAGAAGTATCTATCAGTCCATCAGGTTTAGGTTGGATTTTAGGAAATGGTTCTTTGCCCAGAGGAGGGTTGGGCACTGGAGCAGCTCCTCAGGGCAGTGGTCGCAGCACCAAGCCTGACAGAGCTCAAGGAGCACTTGGACAATGCTCTCAGACACAGGGTGTGACTCTTAGGGTGTCCTGTCCAGGGCCAGGCGTTGGACTTTGATGATCTTTGTGTGTCTCTTCCAAGTCAGGTTATTCCATGATTCATGTTTACCACAAGGGACAAGGAATATTTTTTTATTCCAAAAGCGGAGAGACTTAGATTAGAAATTAGGAAATTAGAAAGAAATTCTTTACTCAGAAGGCAGTGAGACACTGGAAAAATTTGTGCAAAAGCTCTGGGTGCACTTGGAAGTGTTCAAGGCCAGGCTGGGTGTGTTTTGAGAAGCCTGATGCAGTGGGCGGCATCCCTGCTCATGGCATGGGGTTGGAAATAGAGGATTTTTAAGGGCTCTTCCATCCCAATGCTATTCTGAAATCCTGTGAAATACACAAGGCATTAGCAAGGAAGATCTCCATACAACCATGGTATTGTATATGTGTATGTGGTAAAAAAGATACTAGTATCTGTGTTTATAAAATGCTTATAAACTAAAGCATAAGATAGTATTGAAAAAATCTAAATGTTTTTTATCTCTCTTTTTAAGGTAAAGGACAGAGTTTTTTGTATGTCAACTCATCCTCCCAGAAGGAAGGAAACAGAGCAAGGATAACCACCACCAAATTCTTCCCAGCTAGTACTGGAGTCTGCAGAGTTCGCTTCTGGTTCTGGATGTTTGCTTCTAGACAAACAGGAATCTTAAAGGTGAAAGTCCTTCTACTGTGTTATGGCATAATAATACTTGCTTTAGTAATATTTGCATTTTTGTCTCTAGGATTACCAAAATCTCATGAATTTATGTTAACAATACTTCATCACAACTCACTGCAGTTACACCTATATACAAATCTTCTGCTGACAGGATCAAGTGACAATTCTGCTTTAGGTTTAGTTGCAGTTGAAGTCCTTTCACTACATATGTAAGAATTAACACTGCACATTTGACTAGTGTACTAACACCTACCCAATACCAGCACAGTTCTCTGCAGAATTCACTCTAGCATAAAATAGAGGCAATTTCTAATGTTTAGTGGTTTAAATTAAATTTTAAAAAAATATTAATGTAACTGTGTATGAAAGGCGATTTATTAAAACAATTGGAAATTAGGTATTTAACTGTATTAACAATTATAGTCCAAGCTTCCATGAAACTGTCATCTTGCTCTTCCCTAAGCACCCTTAAGTACACTTTTGGTTGTTAAGTAATCATGTAACAGTTCAAGCAGGGATGTGACCCCTTGGCAAACAACTAATTTCATGTGACTCACTGAATAAATATGTTGCACAGTTCCTTTTTAAGTGACCTGAGAAAAACTAATATCTGTGAGGTTTGCTAAATTTTGAAAATAAAGGTTATGTTAATTTTTTAGTTGGTGACAGAATATAAGTTAGTCTATGTTAAAAGCGAAGAAGAATATTTTTGTAGTCTTGGACATTGAATTAAGTCAGGAAGTTTTTAGCACTGTTTTCTCCACTGGAAAAGATAATCATAGCACTGTTCCATGGGATTATAGTGCAATTAGGTGCTCAGGTGCTTCCCAGTCCAACCTCTTGCTCCAAGCAGAGTCATGATGCTGGGTGGCTCAGGAATTTACCCAGTCTTGAAAATGTCCATAAATGGAGACTACTCAGTCTCTAGGGGCAACTTGTGCCTCTGGTAAATTCTCCCCCTTCTTCTCCTTACATCTAGCCCAAGGATAATGTTACCCTTCATTCCACCTTTTATCTTTTTTTTTTTTTTTAGTAATTTTTTAGGATGAGGTTTGCATATCAATTTTATCTCTAGCACCTAGTTTATTACTCTGAGTATTGCTGTAAATTTACCTATTGATAAAAGAAAAAAAAGCTGTATTTCATGAAGTTCATATAAGCAGCAGTAAAAAGCAAACATAAACTCCTTTTTTTGATCTGTTGATAGCTAGAATACTGTGAGATTATCTATGATTAACTATCTGTTTAAATTCAAGTATCCTGGACCTTACAGCATGCAAGATTGATGACGAGTCTCTTTGAAGGAGCTTTTGAATGTTTTCAAGCATCACAGTACACTTAGCATTTGTGAATAAGTAGATGTGTGTGGCCTGTGTATGAGTTAGTAGGCAGACAGCCAGAGTCTGCTTTTTAATTGTTTTTTTTTTCTTTCAAAGCGAGCTAGTTTAATTTACTCTCATTGCCTCAATTTCATAAAGAATTGTCTTACTCCCACATACAAATAAAGTTCCCCATTTATGGCTTTGCTGCATGTTATCTTTATGTAGAAACGTATTCACAACAGATTGAAGCACTCAGCAAGGAATATCATGCCATCACAGAATCAATTTACTTCTGTGGACATTTTGCTCTTTTCTATCAAACTATTAAGCTATTTCAGTATCAACTGTTGCTGTTATTAAACCAAGAATATAAATTAACTGTACCCATTCAAGTGAAAAAGAAAAAAAGCCTGAAAAGGACAAAAAAGAAAAGCAATAAAATCAACAGCCCAAAACTTCAGAAACAACAGCTCTGTGAAGATTATTCTTCAGTTTGTATTGGAGGTGAAAGAAGTCAAACTGTAATAGGAAGTTTGAATATGTGCCAGAATATAGTAACATCAGTACAAAAACTGACACAGTTCTTATCTGAAAGACAGCTGTCTGAATTAAAAAAAAAAAAAATCAAAAGGACTGCAGATATAGCACATGCTGAGATGAGTGATTAAAATGACATACAAGGAATTGATAAAACAAATATAAAAATGAACATTGTAATGGCATAGGAAATAGACATGGTAGAACTACACAAAATAATGTAAAGTTATGGGAGTAATCTTATTCTCACTGAGAAAAGGAACTTGTTACTGAAGAAAGGGAAAAAGGAACTAGAAGTGCTTCTATTCTGTATTCACAATGCACATTTCAATTGCACAATTCCATTGTCATAAACTCTGTAATTTGTTCATAGGGAAGCTAAAAATCTGGGCTATTATTATTTTTAGAAAGGACACAATGTTTACAGCAACTCTTGCATTAACATAGAATGGATGCTGTTTAAAAGAGATCTGAATACTGCTGATTCAGGACTTCAATCAATCATTAACCAACAGGAGAAAAAAATTACTTTGTAATGATTAAGGACAAACCCACTAGCTTTACTTAGTAGTATTTAGAAAGAGACTTTGAAAGAGGAGTTATCCATCACTAAATACAAGTTCTGATCTAATATATCAAATAACATGCTCTGGACAAAAACATCTCTTTAGATAAACAGATTTTGCTGCATTATGCTGCAAATGTAAATTTTAAAAAACCTCACATTTCTCTTTATATTTTTATGACTACTTTGTTGAATTTAATGGTATAGGAGAGCAGTTTCAGCAAAAAATGAATGTGGTTTTCACATCTGTTTCATTCCAATGGAAATTCTATTGATCATTTGTCAGACTGAAAACACTCAGTGTTTATTATGCTTCTCTGCCCATTTACCTCAGGAGTCTGCCATACTCATACAGTGGAGAATTAAAACTGAAATTAGTTCCTGATATGATAGTGTAGCTCATATATCAGTTTTTTTGCCTTAGTATTTGTTGATACTAACAGAACTGATTTATAATAAATTTTGGTATAAGACAGGTCAATTTTACTCAAAAAACCTAAATATTTTATTACTTCAAACTAATATTTAGGTAAAATTTTTATTACTTCAAACAAAAGTTTAGGGGAATAAAGAGGAAAGAGGTAAGTAATTTTTTAAATGTTTCTCTATTGGAACAATGAAATATGATACAATTTTGTAATCTGATTTGTGGACTTAAGAGAAACAATTTCAGTCTGTCTCTGGTGGGACTTCAGTCCAAGGAAGACATGTGAAGATGACTGCTGAGGAAGATGAAGAGTTCAAAGGCATGATCTTAAAGATATAAAGCAGAACACATAGCATCATTATTCACTGGAGTCAATGGAAATTCTCCTCAGCTGACACAAGTCTCTGCTGCCTAATGAAGTGAAAATACAGGTTCTCTTTCTCAAGATTTTCCTGTTTCCTTGGCTGGCAATTAAAGACTCTAAGTTGTCAATGATGGGAGAATACATCTCTTATTGTACACCCTTCAGATCTGCATTGGTTTCTTATTTATTAGGCAATTCAGGTGGAATGTAGAACCTTCCAACATTCTGACTGCTAGATTCAGGCAAGATCAGGAATATAATATACCATACTGAAAAGTCAGGATGAGAGTACAGGATAGCCATGAGTTGTAACTGCTGATTAACAAATAGAAAATAGTGTCTCTTTCATGACCTTAAAAAGTGATTTCCCTATCCTTAAAATGAAATAGAAGCTGAAAAAAGAATTCAGCAGTTTCTAACACACAGAATATTCTGTGGAGAATTAGAACTAAGTCATGACTTTAAGGCGGCAAATAGGATTTTCTAAAGAATGTTGTTCTCTGTGCATCAGCTAGATCAGTATTAGGCTGGAGAACAATCTTATCGGACTGATAAATACAGAGTTGTTCAGTGGGATTTTGCTACAACTTGTTGTTTGGTTGTTTTGAGGATTTTGTGGTTTTTTTTGGGGGGGGGGAGGGTGGTTTGCTTGGTTGATTTTTGTTTGGTGGTTATTGTTCTTCCATTACACACCATATAGTATTCATATATATAGGGATTCATCTTGCCAGCTTTTTTCTATTACACATCTTAAGTTGTTTTCACTACCAGGGTAGCTTGTACACTTTAGATAGGATACTGTGCAGGAGTGGTGCTAGAGGTACTAAGCACCACAGAGTTGTACCCTTCCAGGGCTCTAGGGAGATCTTATCCATAAATTAGCTCAACCTTTCATGTGCTGTATATGTTTACACGGGCCAGTAAAAGTATATACTTGATGAACTTCCTGATCCAGAAGATGCTCAAACACTGAGTGACATGGGCGGCCCCAGGAAAGAAGATATCATTATGTATTTTCACTTCCACTGGGCACAACCTCAGAGAGAATAAAACCTCTATATCTTGCTAAAGGAACAGAGTCCTTGAGTTTCCATTTTTCTGAACTCTCATTTAATCTTCTTTGACTTAGCATACATTTTCGGTTATGTGTGCTTCTTTTAGAAATTTCATCTGGCTTTTTTAGAAGACATTTAAGAACACAGACCCTTTCCTGGTATATTTGTGGATAGAAAAAGGTTTGGAGAACTCAGGTATTCAAGAGTACTTTGTCAAGTAGTGGGATTGAAGTATTAGCCCAGGAGGGTACATGACAAATGAAGCAGAACTAGGAGTTTAACAGAGATTTCCAATGTACCAGTTTAGAGATTTACACTAAATGATAACAGTTTCCTCAGTTACCTATGTGATTGTTATATGCCTGATTTAAACTTTACTGAAACCTAACTGAGGACACAGTCACATAAATTACCATAACATGTTAATTATTCCATTAGTAATTACATATATGCATACCCTCACTCTGTGGTAAATGTAAGTTAAATCTCAAAGAAAAGAAAGACAAGGCATATAAAATGGCTTTGCATCTATGTGAACAGGAGCTGATGTCCTCAAAATGTCACGCTTAAGACCCAGTTTGACTTGCTGTCATTCCAGACTCACTGGCTAGCAGGATTCCTGATTAGTTTGTTGTTCATACTGAGCTTGAGCTGCAGAATGGGTCCTTGCTGCATCTGAGACCAGACTTTGTATGGACACAGTGAAATTTCTCTGGATATAGACAGACCTGTTCAAGCAATTATTGTTCCTCGAAACTTTTAGTGAGAAACTTCTCCTACTAACATGACCAAAAGAATGGGGGAGAAAAACTCTGGCTTTAAACAATGGGACAATCTCTAAGTATCCTGTAAGAAAGATGCTAGTATTGTCTTCAAATGTTTTGGATTCTTCCCACTTCCCCAACAGCTATTTGTGCAGCTGTAAGACTTAACAATGAAGTATACTGAAAGGGATATTACCTCAATATTTACCTTCCAAAAGTAAATATCGCAGCTTATAGCCAAAACCATGTTATATGCTGTAAAATTCCAGATCATCAAGATTGTCATATTTCATGATTGGTAAAATAGTGAATGGTTCCAGAGACACACACACAGGTGTTTAATATTGTCCTAACCTCACATTAAGGGTTTCTTTAATCAAGGGTTTCAACTTATTAAGACCTCAGAGCCTGGTTATGTGAAAAACTGCTATACACAGGGTTTTTTATGGGTTGAACCATCTATTTCTTCTCAACACCTGTGCTTTTAGCCCTACAAGAGGTGTGCTTTTAGGACACAGTGATAAGATATTCCTTTTACACAGTCCTATAACCAAAGATCAGGCTTGACAAAATTTGGTGCTGATTTGAATTACTCTATGTCAGTATTCTTTCTTGCTCCCTTACTCCAGAAATACAATAACTTGCAAGAGTTTTCAGGCATCAGAGATATTTTAATCGATAAACCAAGTTCTACAAAGTATATGGGATTTATGGTGCCATTTGGGTTTTAAGCTTTAGTTTTTAGTTCTCCCACCAGGTGGACTGGGAGAATCAAAGGTACTGAATTATACAGATCATTAGCATGGGTTCGTGTTCATAACTTTCTTGGGCCTCAGGGTTTTTATTCCATTATTAAACTGGGGTATTCAGTTGGCAACATGAACTTACAGGTCACTGGAAAATTAGTTTAAGAGAATTATGTTTCTGAAAGTGAAGAGAAGAGGGTGTTGATTATAATATTCAGTCCCTTGAAGAAATAGTTCTCATCTCTAATGGTAAGAATATGCTTACTTTCTTTATTCTTTTTTTACCTGGTCAGGTTGTATGAGGATTTTTAGCACCTGAGTGGGAAAAGCAAATACCTCTGTATTCTCCAGTTTTATGTTCTTGGCATAAATTCACTAGTTGTTGGTTAATTGGGACTTCATTGCTATACTTATTGCTTTCAGTATTTAATTATTTATTTTATTCATGCTAACTAAAAATAATTTAGCTTTGCTAAATATATTTTCAATAACTTTCTGTAACTGCCAAACTCTGTATTATAAATTGCTTGTACCAAATGACAGATTTAAATCCCTAGTTGCCAAGTCTTTTATTTATATCTCTAAAATCTTCACTCAGTCTAACTATAAGGAGGTAATCTTTTAGAGATGAAAGGATAGCTCAAGATCCTTCTCAGTCTTTCTTCAGTTTTTAAATGAATTTGGGGTTAAGTCATTACTCATTATCTTCTATATGTCAGGCTGAGACTGTAGATTTTGCAATTAGTGGTTGGATTAGCACCTTTTTTTTTTTTTTCTTTTCACAGTAGCTTTATATTTGAAGCTGAACTAGCATTGGCAAAGGTATTCAGTAGCATTTGGTCGCCACCAATACAAAGTGGATGTGAACCATGTGTAGGAGGGTCAGTACTGCCCAAGCAGGGAGGTGCACTGCTGCACCTGGGCTGTGTTACTCTCCCAGGCTGCACTCCTGTTGCTTAGTGCTGATTCATTTGCATCTTTTGGGCTCTGTCATCAACAGGTATACACAGTTGAAGAACATGGAATGGATATCCTTATGTGGTCTTCTAGCAGAAATGAAGAAAACAAATGGATGTATGGAAGTGCAGTTCTCTCCAGTAACAGCCGTTTCAGAGTTGCCTTTGAAGCTGAAGTGGGGTTGAGCCAACCCACAGAATTTGCTCTTGATGATATTTCTTTCACCCCAGAATGCATTGATGGAGGTATGTTATTACACAAATACATATCATACAGGTTCTCTTCTCAGAGGGCAAGGAAAATTGTGGCGTTTCATATTTCAATGTATATCACAGTTACAAAATCTGACATATTTTCTTTTTCTCATGGTTTATGGGACAGTTTTGTGTTTTAGCTAGAAGTTGAATGTACAAATAATTATAGCAACTCAGAATATTACTGGCATTGAGGGTGTGAACCATAGTTGAGAAGAATCTACTGCTGTTCCACTATACTGGTTTTCTCCCATATGAAAAAAGTCAGGGTAGACATTAGTTTGGGATCAAAGGGTTTTATGAGTATCAAAGTAGTTCACAATTATTTTCAATGAAAGTTGTTAGGTTTTTTCCTTTGTTTTCTTCATAAAATACAAATGTACCACATTTGCCTCACTAACATTTTATTCGAGTATTTACAATCTCACTTCTGCTACACAAGTACTTGATCTATGTAGGAAAAAGAATTCTGTCTTAAAATGCCCTGTTTTTTTTTCTGTGAGAAAAGAAGTGGTTTACTCTGAAAACAAAATGTTGTATAGGATACCATATCAGAAGAAAAAGAACAGTATACATGCAAACACAGATTTGATAGAAATATCAGCAGAACTTAATGACTAAGGGACAACTAGGAATTATTATTGTTAAATAAATGTCAGTATGAAGGTTATAAAAATCTTCTTTGGTAACTTTTCTTTCTATTAATACAGCTCTTGTTGTTCAGATAGGATAGCCTGTGCATGACCTAGTTATCATGCTGTTCAAGAAACTTTTTCTTTTATTATTTTTATTGTGATAAGCACCTTCTGGAGAATTAAACACATGCTGATTAAAGCTTCAAGTGAAATAATATGTTCACGCTGGTGACATTTGTTCAGTCTCAAGCTGAATAAGAGTTTTGTTTGTTTTCTCTCAATAGGCTCAGGCAAATAATACTTTGGAATGTAATTCAATGAGCTGCAGACTATGTGCATAAACAGGCATTTGTTCTACCCATACTATGTTAATCACCTTTTTTTAGCCATATCTTAAGAATTACATAGGCAGTTTCCTGCATAGTATAGCATAATAGGGAAATTTTCAAATCACATCTTTTAAGTACCTGTAATTCTGAAATAATCATAACTATAGAAATAAATTAATTTTTATAGACCAACGTTTTCTAATTATTTTATCTTTCTCCAGATATTTTCCAGTTGTAGAATATTTCAAAGTATCTAACTTGTATCACAGCCTGTTGCTCTTACAAATGTGATATATCATAATTTTGGCCTGAAAAAGATTTGTTGGAGTCATACTGACTCCTTACAGTTTGTTGAATAAGTCAAAAACTCATGCCTTATCAACATGCACACATTGCGACTTGATACATAATCTCCTCTCCAGACAAAAAACTGTATCTAGATTCTGTGAGATTGGTTTCACACTCTCCTAGGAAGAGTCCTATCCTAATAATCCTTGCTGGCCTGGTAGACTTGTGAAGAGGCAAGAGAATTACATAAATTCAAGTAATACAATAAACCACAGCAATTTAGGAAAAAAGAACCGACCTCTGAATTTTTAATACTGTTCCTAACAAAGAGCTACTTAGGAGGAGGTGCTGGTTTTTTACTAACTGTTGTTGCTAGAGAGCTGCTTAAATATTCATATGGTAAAATTTGAAGATATTACCTTCCAATAGTATAAAAGCACTATAAAGAAGATATTTGAGCAAGAATATTTTTCTGTAACAGAATCAGTGGGAAAGTTTACCTAATCCACTGTCAGTCCTGCTTTGATTGTTGCTCATTATGTTTATTGAAAGACCTAGTTCAAAGAAAACTGTATTACCTGCAGTGCAGGTTTTGTGAAATGTTCTTCCTTTCAGAAGACAGCTATACTACTGCAGATCATTTTCCTCTCTCTGTATTATTATTTTTCAGCTTGCCTTTAATTACTTTGAGTTTCCAGAGGCAACGCTTTCTAAATGGAAGCAATCACAATTTAGCTGGTTGAGAGCTCCAAGTAATAAAGCATTGCCAGCAGCTTTAATTCAGTTGGGATTTTATTTTTTTTAAGTAGTCAGGCCATGTTAGCCATGACAGTTCCTAGATATCCAAGAATATTTCTGAACACTTAAGCAAGGTTTTGTCAAGGTAGTGCTGGGTCAAGCTAGGCTTACTGCACAAGTGACTTTCAGTCGATGCTAATGCAGAGCTGTTGGTGACACAGGATCTAGTTCAGAATTAGCTGCTAAATGAGATATATTCCTACCACTTTTCAAGGTCCATGACTTTCTGCTGATTAAGTTTTGTGTAGAACTTATTTTACATCCTAGAGACCAAAAAATTTAATTGCTACTTAGTTGTAACTATCTTCTTCAAATTTGTAAATAGCAGCTTGATTTTAAAAGACCCACAAAACTTTATTTCTATGTCTTAATTTTTCAAAATAAAAATTAAAATTTTTTCTATTTCTAGTTTCAGATGAACCAAAAATTCCAAAGTATTGAATCAGATTTTATATTCATTAATGTCTTTCTCATAGTATTTTCTAGTTCAGGTGAAATAAGAGTCATTACAGTAATTCTAGAAATTATTGCTATACCTAATTTAAATCCTAGCATTAACCCAAAGATGCCTAATAATTCAACTTTGTTCTGCTTATGAAAATCAGAATACTGTATTTTACTACTCATTCATTACTAGATGGACAAATTCTGTGTAATTTAGAGTGTGATAGTAGTTAAATAGCACCTCTATGTATTTGAGCAGGATTCTTGAGAAACAGATTCATAGCAGATATATTTTGTGATGTCTTCCAGAGATCACCCAAGTGAAATATTTGTGCTTGTGGAGATCTACTGGAAGAAGGTAAATCTCAGCACAAAGTCAGCACTGAATGATGCTCCAGCTCTTTTACACAGTCAAGTTAACTGCTAGGCCCTACTTAGCTGTAACTCTTTGGGAACTTATACCTCTAAATTTTACTGCTTTAACTAATTTATTAAGTAATTTTGGTTTATTCAAAAAGAATAGTGTTGACACTTTAAAATGAATATTTGTGATGAATCTTGGGTATAAAGACGAGTGCAAATATCATGTGGTGCCTGAGGCTCCAGAGTATTTAAGAAAACTGTGTTTGCTTTTCCACCATCAGTCATGCTTATCACCAGTTCAGTATTAATATTGCTTACTGAAATAATTAATTTGAATAAAATTAACCTGGATGTGCTTCTCTGTCTATTCTACTACTTCACCTTTCCTTATTATTGTCCTCTTTTTAGTTTCTGTTTTTAGTCTATATTTTCTGAATAGTTTATTTCCCATAGCTGCTCTACTCTATCTGAAGTATTCTTTTACTTTTCTTCTTTCTTGTGAACCTTTTTTAATCAACTTTGATCATTTTATTTTAAAATCTATTTTTATTTCTGTGCTTTATTTTATCCATTCCCTTCTTTATAAAAATTTTTTCAAAAAATCTCTCTTTGGTCTACAAACTTAGCACATGAGAAAGGGCTGTCACTGTTACAGATTCCCCACCTCATCCCCCCTGCAGCTTTCCTTTCACCTGAAAGATTTGTTCTCCAGTTAAATATATTGTTATGTGAGGATACATTGGAGATAAAAGGGCAATTCAAATATTGCAGAACATTCAGCACAGACAGGACATATCATCTCTAACACTGTGACATCTGACTGTGGTGGAATTGTGAATACAGAAAGTGCTATTTTCCGTATGGGATGGGTTGTGGCTTTTTTCTGATGTTGTCTTACTTCTTGACTTCACCACACAGGTTGCCAACAAAAGGGTCAGATTTCCCTCCTAGGACCTGAAGTATAGCAAAATTTTCAGTGATTCTTGGCAGCTTTCACTTAGGTGAAACATTTGCTTTGAAATGTCATAATTCTTCCAAGTCTCCTCATTGCTGTGTAGCAAAGCACAAAATAAACCTTCTGTAAATGTTGTATATAATCTCTATACTAAGCAAGCTTTTGCTTGTTGTGAAAAAAACAAATAGAAGAAACAAACAGAAGAAACAAATCAGAATCTGTGAATTAAAAGTTAGGTTTTAGCTTTACATTCAAGCACAAGGGTATTTTAAAAAATGTGTACAAAGAAATGCCACCACCCTAAAAGTTAATATCCTTCAAGAACTGAATTTTCAGTTTATTTGAACCATCATAAGACAGTCATGAGATATAGCCACCTCCATCTCTCTAGATTCCCTTTCCTAATTTTCTAGAAGAAATGGTATTGCCAAAACTGTGTGACAAAGGAAATTATATTCAATCAAATTTAAGATAGATATACTCAGAATTTCTCGTCAGCCACAGTAAATAAGAAAAAAGTGCATCTGGAAATATAACCTGTCTCCAACAGTTCTGGATTTCAGAGAAAGAGTTTAAGAAAAGAGGAACTGTATGTACTGTTTTACCCCAATACATTTCCCATTGGCAGCCATTTGTAGTTCAGTCTTTCTGAGCCATATGTAGTCTCAGAATAATGATTCTCAAGTTTTTTCTTTCCCTTTGAACTTATCTGTTCCCCTTTGAACATCAGGGAAATTTTTAATATTCAGAAATTAAATTATATGCTGCTGCTTGTATGAATCCAGGCTTAAATTCATGAATAGAAATGCTGTTTAGTGCGTTCTCATTTAGGCCTTGAAATATATGGAATCTTTATTTAAACCTTGGTGATTCACTCTTTTGTGTGGTGGGTAAGATTTTCTTAAGACATCTCCATAAAGCAGTTTCAAAATCTCACAATAGTTGCATGCTATAGACCCAATCCTGAAGTTCCTTCAGAGTAAAATAATTTGCATTGACTTCCAAACAACAGCAGCACATATGCAATATCATACCAAAACTCTGTGAGAGGTGCAGGTTCTAGCACCAAGATGAGAAGGAGAGTGTCCCAAAGGGCAAGAGGTATAGGCCATTCTCTTTGTTCAAGGTGGAAGGAAATGAACATTATAGCTGGCATCTAATTCAAACTCTGTTTATGAC